AATTTATAATTATATCATTAAGGAGATCACGGCATCCCCAATATCCCTTTACATGATCTTTTAAATAGCGAGGCATATCCTTAGTTAAATAGCCACCAGATAATTCAACCATGCCAATTTCAACTCCTCTTTCACCAGGGAACTGGAAAGAACCATCAACTTTCATGCCCAAGGGCTTATCATCATCAGGTTTGAGGTTACGTCGTAATAATCGTTGATTTGTGCTAGCTTTAAGATAAATCTCACCTCTATTTTTGAAAAAAAAAACTTGCATTTTAATATTATAAGAAGAATGGAAGCATTAATTTGATATTAGAATCAAAAAAACATACGGCACATATATAGCGTGGTTAGTTGCGTTTACAAGGTATTGTAGTACTGGATGAATCATAAGCGATCCCAATAATGCTTCATTCTTATTTATACTATGGAAAGTCGATGCAATGTCGAATACGTTCTTTGCACTTCAAAATTAAAATAAATTTAAAAACTAATAGTAAAAAACAAACAGTACTTCTACAAAACATTATACTCACAACCATGATAAGACATCTGTTACGAAAATCATTTCTATATCATTTTCATGGTCAAATTTGACATTATGAAGACACTTTTTATACTCATTTAGCGAATTCTATTATTGAATAATAAAAAAAAATCAAATATATATACATAAATATTTTCATTAAAAGACAATTTGTACTTACGGTCTCTAACAGTACACTGAATAGATCTTTGATTTCAGTTGATAAATCATAACGCGGATATTCAACACTTGAATTTAAATAATTCCAATCCTCTTGTTCAATCCATTCTGGCTTCCTGACTTCTGAGCCAATGCGTATAATATCCAGACATGACGGGCTACATATAGTACAAATTACATGAGTTAATCTGTTAGGTCAAAAGACATGAAGAGAAGAAATAAAGAACATAAAACTTACTGAGACTTGTGAAGATTCTTTGGACCACAAATTATATTTCTTATTGATCTTCCTGATGGTAAGAGCCAAATATCTTTTGGACTATTTTCATCTGGATATTTTCGTACAGAAGATAACCCACTATCAGGTTCTGTTTCGCTAATATCAGATTCAACATTACTTAGTGGATCAAAGTCCAAAATTTCATTGTCGTCAATATTTATCTCTTCATTAGGATCTAATTCCGTTGATTCTATGTTGTCGCTATCTGAACTTTCATTTATTCCTAAATTTTCTTCATTGGCATCATATTTTCTCTTTAGCTGTTTTGGTTGGATGTCATGCGCAATTTGTTCTTCCTTTTCCCATAAATAAATTTAAAGTTATCACTTTGCCAAATAACTTTAACAACATTACATATAAATAAACGTACCAGCTCCGTATTGGTATTCGTCATAGTAGTTCTACCATCTTCTTCAATTCCTTGTGCCATATTGCGTGC